ATGTTAGAGAAAATGCATTATATCAGGAGCGAAAAGCACCTAGAACTTCAGACGAGACTTAAAAATGAGTAGATGACGTCTGCGTTCGTTGAATATAGACTTCCAGTAGGTGAATCTGAACACAAAAATATAAAGAAGATTAAGAAGCTGTAGAATTTGCTGAATAAACTTGACCAGGGAAATAAGTGAAGGTCTCTTTAATCGAAAAAAAAAATCGTGTCAACGGGGAAAAGAGAAAATAAAGATGAGTAAAGGCAGTCAATAAAATAGTCCGACGGTTACCAATGTAAACAACAACTTCAATTTATGTGTGGAGCAATCTGAAAAAGTGATGAAGCTTACTTTGCTATTGGAAAGCGGGGCCAGGTACGGATTTACAGGCTCTCGACCAAGTTTGTTCACCATAGCCACCAAACAGAACACAGTCGACTTGCGAACACTCGACTGCGGATTTGAATAACACTGAAAATCAATCGAGAAACATGAAAAATTGCAAAAATAGCTATGACTGGTAAAAGAGCGAAACACCAACGAAGAAAACTCACATTAACAACTCCCGGCGCTATTTCTGGTAATCTAGCCGTCAGCTCTTCAACATCTAGAGACTCGATGAGACGAGTTAACATTTTCAAAGCGGGACCAACTCGATTATCGTTCTGGAAATCAAAGAATTACTGCGATGTTTATTCCTAACAGCTACCGGGACCTCAAAACTTAATAAACACAAACCTCTTGAGCAATAATAGGCTTGGTCGCACGAATGACAACGTGTAGCGGGAAGTGTGTCGCTAAAGTCCGCAGGCATTCATCAGCTACATTCAAAAGCTGCTAAAAAAAGAAGGCAAAGTAATTAAGTATTTCAATAATCTATGAATCTATCTATGATGCTGGCGCACACACATGCGATAACTTCTGACTACAGTATGCGAAAGGATTTGAAAAACAAACAGTACGAAGGGAGTTCAACATTTAGCTACAAAGTAATAATGAACATAGAATCTAACTGCATGCAGAACGGAGACTGAGCAGTAAGCTAAAATGCAAGAGTGCCATGCAAATACGAAAGCTTGTTGGTTCCCACTGAATAATTGATATTTATGTTTGAGATCAGATGAAGTTAACGTATTGAGCAGCCCCGTAATCCTGGAAAAACCGGCTAGCGCATCAGTTGGGGCGAAGGAAGTTGAGAATTTCCGTTTCGAACGACAATCCTCGGCAACATATGAATAGCAACGGACGCCGACACACGGGGAATAGCACAAATCGTAGTTGCAACCAGATACTCATCCAAACGAATGTCCACAATACAAATCAAAAATTTTAGGAGATAAACCCCAATAAGCAAATCATGACAACGCGCTCTTATCCGACAAACTCGAGGGAGAAAGTAGTGGAATGAACAGAAAGTTAACTTGCTTGAAAATTCCGGGCATCATTTTTGAACTGTCTTGTTACCAATTTTTGTTGAAACACTGTCGAACATAACTAATTCCCTATCGGGAATTTTCATCTGGGTAATTAAAACCTCTCTCTATTCAGTAGAAGCAGGAACGAAAAATGGCTTTATTTATAGAGATTGAACCCCCAACAAAAAGATAAAAACATGCTGACGGTCGAAAAACAAACAAAAACCAAATGAACAAAATGAACATAAAAAACATAGGACATTAAACAACTGACACTCACGGGATTTTCCTCTTCCGAAATTGAATCCAGCACCTTGAAGAGGGTCATCTCAGCAAGATCGTAAAACTTCGTAGCCTGCGCAACACTAAAAAATCAGACAATCAGAAGCCAGTTGATAACTGAGCGAGATCGACCGAAGTGGTACTGACCAGATTTTCGTAAGCAACTTCAGTGCACTTCGCTTCAACGTTATATCGTTCACCGCCAGTACGTTGAAAATGTGTAAGATGATTGGTTTGAAATTCTCCTCCCAGGTCGTCAGTGAACCTTCACTAACCATTTGTTGTAGTGTTTGAAGAGCATGATTTTGTTCATTCCGTCTGTAAATGGATTAATAAAATTACGAACAGCTGAAGAAGTCGCTAGAGGTCTGCCAACAAAAAATTGGTATACATATGAAAACCCTCTTTAAAGTCAGACAAAACAAGTCGTCAGGCGAACTATTCATGGTGCCAGCCCAATAACGTCTCCCCAATGTGTTACTTATGGTTCGAAAACCATTTGGAATACCGAATTGCAATTGGAAATGGGAAGTAACGTCTAATGACAATATGAAGCAGAGACCCGAGTATAGAAAGATACGCACGTATTAAAACCCAGCACGCTTACAGTATGGTCGCTACTGAAACCGATATCTTTCTAAGGGGGTGAGTGCTGGAAATTAATTAGAAGGCGGATTGTACGTCAATTGGACCTAATTGCACTGAATAAGCCAGTTCCTGCATAAGAACTGTTTGGAAATGCACCCCTGTGTTGCAAGATCTGTAAAATCTGCTCCCGAGAAACAGAGAAGTAATTCCTTCTCATTTGGTGCACTCTTGAATTTTCGTCTAACAGAGTATGAATACAGGAATGGAAGTTTTACGTCACGATACCAAACCGCATTCAAAAGGTTGGCGACCACAAATTGGACGTCAAGAGAGGGAATGGATCTTTAAAAAAAAACCCAGTGTTTTACACATCCATATGACAACTGTGCATTCCATTCAAAATTTTCAAAACTGAGCCTTTACAAACCTTGAAGGATCCAACGAGGATAATTCTTTCAAGAGATTTCCAATGAACTCGGTCTGCAACGCCGGGTCATCCTTCAGATACATGGTTGTCTCGATCTTGAAATGACAGACTTCATAAAAAGGAGGAGTCTTTTAGAGACTCCTGCCACTGTTTCACACCGATTGTTTACGCTCACTATTTCGTCTTTCGGAGAGCGAAAGTAATTGGGAGAACCGTGGCAAAAGCCGATTACCAACATAAAACCCGTTTGAGAAAGTTGGAGGAAAACAGTATTAACAAAGTGCCAGGGTTTTGTATAGTCACTTAATCTTTAAACATAATCAGTTGTCTCCATCTTATAGGCAGATGAAAATTCGAGAATAGACTCCGAAATAACTTCAAAACAGTAGAGAATAAAGAACAAACAGAGCTAAAACATATCACATTGACGCCTTAACTATACCTTATGTCTACTTTCAG